AACATGCATGGTGAACAAGACCCGCTACTTAAAAAATTTATACTTTTTCTTTAACGTTTTGTTCCAAAAAGAGGATTCTCTATGGCTGAATTCGATGCTGCTGACAGATCCAACGAAACGCTGTTCAAGTAAACTACGATACTCATAATGCAAACTGAACTCGTTTTCAATTTCATATGTAAATTCAGCAGAAAACCATATTCACCATTCTGGAATAAAATTTGGCCCTAAGGCCTTCATATTTTGAAGCATAATTATATATTGAATCACCCGAGAATATTTTTTACATCGACGTGGTAAACCTCAAGCAGGTGCATATTTCGAGCTGACATTTATACAGTAACAATGGAAACACGTACTGTCTGAACATTTCTAGTGGATACAGTGGCAATTAATATTAACGAGGAGGAATCTGGTTATGTATTCTTACTTATCCACAACACACAGATCATTTTGAATGGCCGCAAGTTGCCAATGCTTGCAGAACAACGTCAGAGGAGAAAGACAAGTTCATAATATGAAATGCAGATACAGCTGACCGGGTAATGCACTGAAGTATCGAGTTAGAATATCTATAGGTGTCGAATACCTCAAATCGCTTCCACCAGTGCTGTGCACTGAGAGTGAAACGGAAAGGGAAGGAGAAAGTTGAGGAGAAATAAAAATCTTCAAGGAGTGCATCCTGTTGTGTTATCACTGTTGTTGAGAGAGAGTGGGGGTGGACGGGGGAGGGAGAGAGAGGGAGAGAAAAAATAAAAAGATGCAGGAAAGGCTAAAGATAGATAGATAGATAGATAGATAGATAGATAGATAGACGTAGATTCAAAGAAAGAGGGATAGAAAGAAAGAAAAGCGTAAGTGGTAAATAGAGACAGAAAGGATTGCAGAGAGAGAGAGAGAAAGATATAAATATAGGGAAAGAATAGGAGAATTAAAAAGTAATAAGACATATACGGAAACAGAAAGAAAGAAAGAAAGAAAGAAAGAGCAATGGAAAAAATAGCGTAAGAAGAAACCCGAGACAAGATACAAAAACCATAGAAAAATGTAAAAACCGTTCTGTTGGACTCAATGGCTTTAACTGTTAGTAAAATTACATAAAATAGGTAAAGTTGTCCCTATGCTTAACTAATTAAGCACTATGCCATGAAGGCGTATGGAGGAGTGGATGTATAGATCCAAATGTTCTTGGCCTTGGCACTAGTTGGAGGTGACTGGTCAGCTTCACGCCCTGGCCGCTCTATCCCCGGGGAAAGAGCCCCCAGTACCCATTGGATAGGAGGTTGGGTGGACCTCAGAACCGATCTGGACGACGTGAAGAGAAAATTCTTGACCCTACCGGGACTCGAACTCCGAACCCTCGGTCGTCTAGCCCGTAGCCAGGCACTATACCGACTACGTTAAATTACATAACTAATTTTATTTAACCGTAACATAGTATAAGCAAGTTATTCCCGAGCAACACGTAATGAATGTGCGCAATGGGGCAGAGGCAATGATTCACTCTTGCCGAAGTATGTATCGCGTCTGGCCGTCTTAACTCCCAGAGAAAGACACCCTCCACAAAAAATTGGTTATGCCCCGAGGAAATTGGGATATTCTAGTAATCTAGATAAATACAAAGTGCGTTGTCGCAAATGTAACTATTGTGAATTAATTAAAAATGCATTTTAATAACAATAATTCGATTGATTTATCTGTTTTTACATGCAAACTCAACAGTTTCAGGAGTCAGAGAGTTAGAACAAGTGGGCAAATAAAAAGCGAAGGAAAGAATATAGACATATACAGACAATACGTACAGTGAGTAAATGATATTCTACTGCATATTAAATGCAGGAAAATTATACGTATGTAATAACACTGAATACCGGCCACGGTAGCCGAGCGGTCTAAGGCGTGCACTGTCTTCGCTCGCTCGGAAGCCGGGATCGTGGGTTCGAATCCCACTCAGGGCATGGATGTTTGTGTGCGTTTTTCTCTGTTTGTGTACATGTAGAGGCCTTGCGACGAGCTGATCACTCGCGCAAGGAGTCCTACCGAATGTCTAAGATCTAGAAAAACCGAAGTGAACGGAGAGTTTCATGGAGGTAGACCTAGGCCCACTGGGACTGTAGTGCCAAGGAAAAAAAATAACACTGAATGCGATAAGATAAATAATAAAAATTGAGTTCCTTACTTATTTAAGTGCTGAGAGCTACAGACAGTGGAAAATTACAGAGTCAGCACGGATACAAAAATCAACAGCAATAAGATAACACGGGGGCGCGGGGGAAGACGAAAATTGATCACTTGAAGTTGTTTACATTTAAACGTGATTTTCTAAAAATACCTATAAATTTATGAACTGTATGAGAAGCATAAGTAAATCCAGCTGAAGGACAGTGCTTGAAGCAATCATTGAATATGATAAAGTTACATAATTCCAATCAGTTGCTTCATTTAAGTTCTTATCAACAGTGAGTAGCCTATAACAGGCGATTACTGAGAGTGTAAACAAAAGCTAGACGAAGACTAGAATTAGAACTATACTAAAATATAATACCAGACAATAAAATGATACAGGTAACACGATAAAAATATACTCTTAACCCAGTAGGATCAAGCAAGGGAAAATGTCTCCTCTAGGGAAGTGTTATATTCATTGATAACATTTTTTTTTATTTGCGATAGATTCATACAATCTGCCCAATTAAGGACAATGAGTACTTTTGGTGACTGATGTGACTATGTCATTAACAGTGTTAATAAGGCTATCCCAGTGGATGCCTTAAGATTTGTGGCATGTATACACTTAAAACTAGCTAAATCTATCAGATAGGTCTGACGGTTTGAATCTTTTTAATCTCCTAACTTCATGTTCATGGGTTAGTAGTGAGGCTGCGAGTTCGTTTGGATGTACTTGTAGTCTCCGACTGTACTTAGCACTACAGTTTTTAATTTCTTCTCGCACTGTAGATACACTTAAGTCCTTATGTAACACTGTATTGGGCACACACCAGGGCGCTTCAATTATTTCCCTGAGAACCTTGTTCTGAAATCGTTTTAGTATTTCCAGGTTTGAATTGCTGGCTGTTCCCCACAGTGATATTCCATACGTCCATATAGGTTTGAGTATTGCCTTGTAGAGTAAGAGTTTACTTTTAACAGACAGTTGTGATCTTCGTCCGATTATCCAGTACAGTTGCCGAATTTTCAGGCCCAGTTATTTTCTTTTGCTGAAGATATGTTTCCGCCATGTTAGCCGGCGATCTAAATGTATGCCAAGATACTTGGCTATTGAAAACATCCAGAGATTTTCAGCTGTTGTTTGCAGCCGAGATGCACCTTGTTGCAGGGCTGTCTTGTGACATTATTGACGTAGGAGGAGGAAAAGTCTCTAATTTGCTTAGTGTGTACATGGAGAGTAGCGGTATGCTCAATAAAGAACAACAGTTGATTCTGTTCTTGAAAACTTTAAAAAGAAACGAAACACCGAGAGATTGTCTTCCGGAACAAAGTGTTTTAAATTTAATTAATTCAAAATTGATTCACAATTGAGAAGAAAATTGGGCTGAATAAATCCATTGAAGCATAGCTTTGCGAACTTCCCTTGTATGGTTTCCAGTTAATAATGATGAATATGAGGTGATAGGTGGCGGGATAGCTCAGTCGGTATAGCGACTGGCTACGGGCTGGGCGGCCGAGAGGTCGGAGTTCGAGTTCCTCTAGGGCCAAGAACTTTCTCTTCTCTACGTCTTCCAGATCGGCTTTGGGGCCCGCCCAGCCTCATATACATGGGTACCTAGGGTAAAGAGACCGGGGCGTGAAGCTCACCTCTCACCTTCAACTAGTGCTGAGGTCAAGCAAATGTGGATCTATACATCCACTCCCCATACGCCTTCATGGCGTAGTGCTTAATTAGTTAAGCACTGGGACAACTTTACCTTTTTTTACTGTGATGATAATAACAATAGACGATGCTTATAGTTTCGTGACTTTCGACTAATTTTAAATTATTTAGAAAAGCGTCTGCAAAGATGCTATCAATTTTTCGACCGTCGCTTTTCATGCAGTCGCTTTAATATGCTGACAGAGAGCATATCCATGTATCCTGCTCTTGCTGTAATCATACGTCAAATAGAGCCATGTCATGTAAACATCTGACATCGAAACTCTTGTACACATGTAACGGGAACAAGTCTTTTTGGGTACTATTATGACATCCACGCCTATTAGGTCAAATTCATAAGGGTAGAAAAATAAATTTAAGAAGGGGGATTTAATTATTTTATGCAGAAAATATTATCTTTCTTTTTACTCCTTTACAAAGATACACTAGATACGCTAGAACACTGTGATCGTGGGTTCGAATCCTACTCAAAGCATGGATGTCTGTGTGCATTTATTCTGTGTTTGTGCTGTTCCGTGTGTAGGTAGCGGCCTTGCTACAGGCTACGTCCGACAATCATACCGACTGTGTATGGGATTACGAAACTGAAAAAGCGACCAGGGCCCAACAAAGGGCTTCAGTGCCATTGATGAATGATGTGTAGGAGCAGTGACAGATGAACGTGCAGCGTTGGCGGTATGGTTCATTAATAGCGGAAAGGCGAATTAGGCCTAAGGCCTGTTCTAGTTTCATTTGTCCACCGCAAATCCCACATCGACAGTCCTAGATTGATATCGGCGACAATTATTTGAACTCTGCTTCCGTAAATTGGGTATACTTGATTTATTATCATGAAAGACAAAAATCAAATGGGGAATGAGATGTTGGGTTTGTCACATTTGACAGAGCTTTACTCAGTGACAAGTACCAAGTCTCTCCCTATATTGTTCAATAGCGATTTTTCTTTATTTTATTCGCTACAGACGGTACAAATATCTCACCACAGTAGACAGCCTGGCTTCCTCTCCCACGCCTGAACATTAATTATCTGTAGCTGGCCCTGCGCCGGCGCCGTAATGACATTTCCCGGCCCGGCCGGCAGATGGGAGCAGATCATACGCAGAAACAGCCAGTCGTGTGTCGTTGCGAGCTGTTAGTTGTAATCAGACTCCGTTGGGTTTGTGGCTGCGCTAGAACGGTGTCGAGGAGAGCTGTAGGCTCGAAAACGCGAAATATGCGCAAGTAAGGCATATATGTGTTCTATAATTTTATGCATATAACAGTTTATGCTAATACACAAAGCACGTTAAGGTAGCACATTTATATTCTGGGCAATTAACGAATACGAAGGTGTAACAGTTGATTCGTTTTTCAGTAATAATTACGCGAAAAGGAATAACTGTTCAGCATTTATGGCTGATGGAACACAGTGCTGCAAACTCTTCAGAAGGTCGTCTTAGGAGCAACAAAATAACTAAACCGATTTTACTGTTCTTGTCTTTCGTGCAGTAACGTCCGCAACTGTAAACACACAAACAGCTTGACAGCACGCCGTTTAGATGAGCTGTCACTATTCAGCATTGTCACTTTGTTACTTTGTGCGCAGTTTGCTAGGAGAATTTCCGTTTTCTGTAAATTCATCTACTTTATAACAATAATAAATATAAAACTAAAGTAAGAGACAAATGTCTTACTCCTAGTTTCGTAGTGATAATAAAATTTGTTTTTGTAATTTAAATAATAATACAGTTATAAATCAAGATTTTATTACTGGTGAAGATAAGGAATATAAGAAGCAGGATGCATGAGTCATAAAATAGCTTCATACGTCCGTACAGACTCAGAAAAAGCGGAAATAGTGCATCGGATGGACGACTGACTTTCGCTGAAATTTGCTGTGCTTTGCTAGGTAAGTAACTACTGTAAATTAAAATTCGTCTAAACCAGAGATTAGAACCCATACACATTTCAGAAAAGCTAATCAGACGCGCCGTCAGTTAAGGTGACGACCTGTTTATTCCTTTGTAAAAGCTGACGAAGGAAGCAGCCATGTAACTAATATGACACATAGGTTACGGCTTTAGTGTAAATTAATTTTGATGGCATCACTAACAAATTTAGAATGCGTCTTCAGCTTTGTGTTTCTGAATATATAATTAGTACCATACGCACAAATTACGTGATAGATTTTGGTTTATCCATTTTTTTAAATCCGTAAGTCAGATCTTAGATTAGAATATGTTAGAATTTATGGACGTGGTAAACGTGGCTACTGGTAAACGTTAAGAGACGCTTTCCGAAAATAAATCGATTTTTACAATCAGGTACTTGTTGTTAAAAGCAGAACGCATAATTCATTTTTTTTTTTAGTTTCCTCCGCAAAACACCGGTATTTATTTGTCACTCAGTTGATCCAACCTTGAAAACATTTCAGGAGCTAGGAACATTCTGCAGTGGCACGATTTTGCTTCTTGTAAATTGCTGTCTGCATCGATACTGGCGTTTCCGTTCCTCGAATCGTGTGTGGGGGTGCGTTTAGTGGCCAATCAGTGCTGATTGGTTGTATGCGCCTCCATAATTCCGGCATATACTTACTTAAAACAGACCCGTGTGAGATTCTAAAGTGGTCTAACTCTTAGCAATAGTGATTCATATTTGAGAAGTCAGGTGGGGCTAAGTAATTTTTAAACGTAAAAGAGAATGATAGCAAAATGAAAGTATCTTCTTAAGAAACGGATTTATATGGCCTTCACATCGCGAGATGGGATTTAAAACGGGAACCGTAAAAATATAGACGTAGAGACAGAATGTCCGGATTCTGGAAAATAAATTTCTGTAGCAGAATGCGAGCGGTAAGAGTGCAGGACTGGCGAGCTGATATCAGTATTCAGAAGATTACAGGCATTTGAAGATTATTGTCTTCTGGAATTTGGTGCCATATAAGCTGGTAGAAGTTTTTTCGATGTTTTATAAGAACGACCTTCCATCTTCAGGGTAGAAAAGTGTCTTGTCTGAAAATGGAGGAAGCATGTTCCTCCGAAATAATGGGAAGCTCCAACGAGACTACACGGTGTCATATTATTATTATTATTATTATTATTATTTAGAGAGGGTGGGTTTCCCCATGCACCGCGACCAGTTTGATCTATTGTGCTTCCCTCTATGATATTCTACCAGTCTCTATACCCTACCGATAAATAGTGTATACCATCAGTCCCGCCGAGCAAGCGAGTTCGGCCACTTGCTTAGCGGTGTTTATAATGCTTCCCCCATCTATCGGAGGCCTTAGAGACTAATGTTGGGCGGGAAACGTCCGTTAATTTGGCTCAGTGACCTCCTATGGAAATATGAGGTTCTTTTACGTGCCGTAAAGTTATGACACGGGACACACAGCTTAAAGTCCCTCCCGGAGGACTTGTTCCCTGAATTTTTCCGCCCTTAAAAATTCGACGACCTCCGCCGGGTATTTGAACCCGCGTACCACGAGTCATGAGGTGGGAACGTTACCTCTAGACTACGGAGGCCGCCACACGTCGTCATACCCCAAAAGACAGCAATTTTCATAAATCACTCTGAAGATACAGGACTTATATTAGGCTCATGTATTCCCTTCGAATCCTGATTTTACAAGGTATACACGATAATACCGGGGTACGCGGTAGCGTAGTCGATTGAGGCACTATGCTACAAGCCGGAAGGTCGCGGGTTCGAGTCCCAATGAGGTAGATTTTTTTTTCAATTTACCTAATCCTTCCAGCCGCACTATGACCCTGGGATCGACTCAGCCTCTAGCAGAAAGGAGTACAAGGAATCTTCCTGAGGCGTAAAAGGCGGCCGGCATGTAAGGCTGACAACCTCACCGATATTTGTGGACCGATTATCTAGAAGATGTGGGAGCCTCAACCTCTCACACTTGTATAGGCCTTCACGGCCTGTTGCAGGGACAGCTTAGCTTTACAACTTGCACGAAAATACCATACTAGGTTCTTGGTCCGAGTGTTTCCATAAATGAACTGTACTGATCCGAGTTATTTGGGTTCAATCCCAGGTCAGGTCATGTGGGATTTGCGGTGGACAAAGTGACACTGGAGCAGCTTGTCTCCGAGTAGTTCGGTTTCCCCTGCCAATTCTCATTCCACCGTCTACTCCACAATCATCATCTATCATCCGGGGCTGGTACAAATACAATAGACCTTTTTTTTCTGTGGCGCTACAGCCCCAATTTGGGCCTAGGCCTACCTCCATGAAACTCTCCGTTTCACTTCGGTTTACTAGATCTTACACATTCGGTAGGACTCCTTGGGCGAGTGATCAGCTCGTCGCAAGGCCTCTACCTGTAGACCAACACAGAAAAACGCACACAAACATCCATGCCCTGAGTGGGATTCGAACCCACGATCCCGGCTTCCGAGCGAGCGAAGACAGTGCATGCCTTAGACCGCTAGGCTACCGTGACCGGCCAATATACTAAGTGGACTCAGTCGCACAACACTCAAACTAATTGAATTGAATTGAATTGATCTGGGTTATTGTCATGTCAGAAGTGTTATGAATAAGTATTCCCGTTCAGCATTTTCTATTATATACTGTCATGCAGCTGCATAATGATTGCTCTGTTAATTAAACGGTTGTCAGGCAACGAAACAACAGTGGATATAGACAAATTTTGCAATATGCAACTGGTATCTAGCAACTAGATCACAGACGGAGTCGGGCGAACCCCAGCGTACGAACGTAATATGTTTTGTGAAATGTGTTTGTAAGTTGAGTGTTCGTAAGCAGAATTATTTTTATAAGGTATATTGTTAAATTTGTTAATGATAATTTGCTAAAATGTTCGTAATCGCGGGGTTCAGTGTTCTTTAAATTAATTTGGAATTGCAATTATTTAGTCCGCACAGTGTTCATGAATACGAATTGTTCGTTTCTTGAAAGTTCGTAAGTAGAAGTTCGCTTCTATATTTACAAACTTAGGCTATCAGCCAAAAGATTATTCAACTACTCGCCTCTAGTAATGTTTGAACGTGTTACTTGTAACATCTTAAACAATTAACGTTAGCAACGCCATTTGTTATTGCGCTCTCCGTTCAGTGCTCGCGAGCAAGACCAGCAAGTGGTGTTCCCCTCAGCTTTTGGAGCCACATGAGCGCACGAAGTACGTCCGTTGACGAACGTACTTTATGACGGACGTTGCTGAGGACACCACACAGTTGCAGAATGCAGCGCGTAGTTTTTTTGTCTGCAATGGAGCCAGAAGAAAGGGTAGCATTCGCCTCTCTTGCTTATTTCTACAACGGACGCATTTTGTGCGCTCGTGTGGCCCCAGTCGTCCATTCAAGGTCATCTCACTTCTGTGTTTCAGCTATGTATGCGTGTGTATATGGTTATGCAACATGATTACGTGAACGTAGATCTGTACTTTCCTATAGCATGAATTCATTAATTCGTTTTGTAATTTAGAATATGCATATGATATTGAGAAATAGGTTGTGTAAATATTCTGTCACATTCCTACCTCGGAACTCATAGGGTGCACACAAATATATGAAATTGGGCCGCGCCATAGCTCAAGCGGTTAGTCGCTGGCTTCCCATCGCGGCGGCCCGGGTTCGAGCCCGGGTCTGGTCAAGTGGGATTTGTGGTGGACAAAGTAGCGCTGGGGCTGGTTTTCTCCGAGTACTTCAGTTCCCCTGCCAATCTTCATTCCACCAATTGCTCCACAATCACCTTCACCTATCATCTGGGGCTGGTACAATAGGTCAGAAGTGGCCGCAGTACAAGGGACTTAGTCTCACCCCACTAACAATCATAATAATAATAATAATAATAATAATAATAATAATAATAATAATATAAAATATGAAATTTGCCCCGTGCTATTGCAGTATTAACTATAGCCAAGCGGCCTCCGTAGTCTAGGGGTAACGTTCCCACCTCGTGACTCAAGGTACGCGGGTTCCAACCCGGTGGAGGTCGTGGAATTTTTAAGGGCGGAAAAATTCAGGGAACAAGTCCTCCAGGAGGGACTTTAAGCCGTGGGTCCCGTGTCGTAGCTTTACGGCACGTAAAAGAACCTCATGTCCCAAGGGGACCTCTGAGCGAAATTCAGGACATTTCCCCCCCAAGGACATTTCCCGCCCAACAGTAGTCTCTAACGCCTCTGGTAGATGGGGGAAGCATCGAGATACCGCTGAGCCAGTAGAGGCTGAACTCACTGGCTGAGTCGGGACTGATGGCACGCACCAGTACCGGTAGGGAATAGAGACTGGTAGAATATCGCAGGGGGACGCACAATGGACCAATATCTGGTCTAAGTGCATGGGGAAACCCACCCTCTCCAATAACAACAACAACTATAGCCACGGCTACTGAAGCGATTCGTAAGCATTGCGGTGGAGTTTTGGTATGAGATTGGAATTTTCGTTCACAACGTCATTTTAATTGCGTAAATTTTCGTTTCTTAATTTCATGTTTTATCTTATTTACAGTTATGCGTACTAGGCCTGGGCTTATATATTGTGATAGTGACAAGGACAGCACCCATATTCCTGAAGAAAAACGAGTACTTTTGATCCACTTAAATTACGTAATATAACAATCCTTGCCCATAGCGCTCGTGGAAACACCGCTGTAAGGAAGACCCAAGACCTTTACTATAAAAAGGGAGTTAGGGGATCCACTGGTTAACACTCTTTAAACCTTACTTTTTTGTTCCATCGTAAAAAACAAACATTGTGTAGTAGCATGTTTCAAATGTAAGTTCAACTTCAGAGTATAAAACTTCGATACCCAAAGACGTACCGCGGGAGTAAGGTGGGTACCGCAACAAATGCGCATCTCGTGGTTTGGAAAGCACGGACTCCTATATGAGCACTATTCAGGCACTGCGGATACACACAACTAAATACT